TTAACCCTCCCTTCTGGCTAAGAACAGCCTTATATCTCTCTCTCTTCTGTGTGCAAATTTTACTTGTGGTACCTCTTCTGTAGCTTTATTTTATCCTGTCTTATATTACTGTGCCTTAGACATGGGCCTTCGCTCCCTACCGCGGAGTTACATTTCTTGAGTACTATGCTGCTTAGTTTGTGCGTATCTGTATCGCCCACAATGTCGTGTACAGTGCAATTAGTTGCTCATGAACGCTGCTCAATACATGTTCAATTCAATTGAATTAAAATGATGGAATGAAAGATGAGTGAGTGAATGGATATTTACTAATGTGTTACTTTGTGGTAGAAATTAGTTGGGAGATAAGCTAATTTTTATTGTGTACTATGTGTTTCACAGTATTCTGTAATTGGCATTTGAATTTAAAAGCTACCACTGACTGAAAATCTAGCCGAATATATTTTAAATCTTTAGGGAGATTTTTCCACTAAACAAGACAATTATATAATATTTAATTTTTATAACATTTAATTTTTACTCTTTTTAATTCTTGAAACACTATTTTAAACATATTTTCATCTACTTGTCAATTGTTGTGACTAGGTAGTGACATTAAATGTATAAATAGATATTTGTATAGTTTTAGGTTTCAAATGTAAACTATTAGGGGGAAGATGCTGTGATCCACAACAATCATAAGTGTATATAGTCACTTTTTTCAGAATTAAAAGATGCTTCCTTGTGGAGATTTAGATACATGGTCACTTAGTTAAAAGTGAAAATAGCATTTTGGTTGATAATTTAATTTATTTTGATCAGAGGTATTTTCATATGACATTAACTAAACTGGACTTCTAAGTATCAACTCTAACACTATCTATATATATAAAAGCCTAAGCGACCTTTATGACCGAACGACCAGAATGACAGGAATGACCAGTCGACCAGTCACTATGATGTGCACTGACCACCAGGGGGCAGACGCTCAATGCAGGAGCTGCCCCATGGTGGTCAGTGCACTCCCGCAGCCAACTTCCTTCGGCCTCTCCCCACAGCCGGCCCAGCCCCAATGGGCCTCGATTGGGGGCGGGGCCGGCCGTCCAACCTCCTCCTGCAGCTCCTCCCCCTGGCCAGCCAACCTCCTGCAGTCCCTCCCCCCAGCTGGTCTGGCCTCGATGAGTCCCGATTGCTGTCCAGACTAAGGGACCCCACCTGTGCACGAATTTGTGCACTGGGCCTCTAGTATAAGTATATAAGTATATGTAGGTACCAACTGTTATTCCCCATGCATTTGTGAAAGATCATTACTAATGGTCAATAATGTTTTAAAATTAAGGCCAAAGCATAGAGCATCACTTCATAGAAAAATATGTTTAATCAAACCCTCAATGAAGATTAATTAGCATGTTTGTTACAAACACGTTTTCAAGCTCCTTTGAATTAGTCAAGAGAATTTTCTAGAGAAACTGGAGAAAGTCCAGTGATTCACATACAGCTGGGTCCAAGTGCTCAAATGCCAGGGGTTTGATGCTCCCCCATTTTTTATCTATGCTTCTTTGTGCACTGCTTGACCTCTCAGGTGGTCCTTGCTACCTGCTGGGAAATGTTGCATTAGCAGCTCTTAACCTCTGTTCTTAAAACCCACAATCTAAGAGCAGTCTCCCAGCTTCAGGTCCTGGTTCCCATGAAAGGACTTGGATTGGCCCTTTTTGGATCATAAGTCCATCTCTTGGGTCAGTCACTGGGAATAAAGTGATGAGCTCCATGATTGTCTAATCCTAAATCATGTGGCCAGGGTCAGGCCAATGAGACACTTTGCTTACCATTTCCACCAAAACTATACAGGATGAGGTCGGGACAGTCGACCTGCTATTTTAGCCCACATTCACCATCCTTACCTGAACTATTGGATCATTTCAGGTTCCGAATTCAGAACTTCTCAGATTTTGGAAACATGATAGTGTATAGATTCTGATTATTGCATAACAGCAGGAATCTGGGAAAACATCCCATATATAAATTTATTATTTCTGCCACAAAACATATGACTATGCCCAGAAAGTAGGAAAAAGGAGGATTGTAGGTATTCTCATGTCATTTTTATGCCAATTGAGTTTGCCCCAAGTTTTTAAAAATCTTTGTTTGTACAATATTAGGATTTCAAGATTGCCAGTAAAAGGTTGAGAGTCTATACTACACATACTTGGTTGGATGTGTGCTAGGCACCATGTTAGCTTGTACAGTAAAGTGTATGATGGCAGAGACAGCTGTGTTTGCCTCCATGTCTTTGGACTTGGCATAGCTCCTGACATGTAGGATGTACTCATTAAATATGCTTGTTGAATAAGTAAGTGAGGCTATCAGTGATTTTTGTGTACATTACTTCATGGAAGTAATGCTAACAACTGCTCCATGACATAGAGATGATTTTTTCTATTCAGAACTTACCGAATGAACCTCAGTTTTGCCATTTCTGAAAAGGGAGATAATGATACTTGGCAAGATGAGTGAAGCTCAGAGAGATTAAATAGCAAATTGGTCAGACAGATTGCAATTAGTTGATTACAGAGTAATAGCCACGTCCATCTGACTTCGTTGCTGAACTGTTAGGTTATTCCACCGATGTCTACAAATGCCGCTACCTAGTTAACCAAAGGGTCCCTTAGGAGCTGGAACATTCTGTGCAGCCTGTAACAGTTATTCATTTAGGGGAGATAGGGTATGCATATTGTCCAAGCTACAGAATTCTTAAATTACATATTTTTATAAGATATCAAGATTAGAAGAAACAGTCTTTATTTCAGCCCTCCCTAAACTCTGACTAGTGGATAATTTGCTTTAATTGTTTTGAAGGAGCTCATTCTACTTAAAATCTAAGGTGGGTGTCACTATTGCTCTCAATCTGGCCTTGTCTACTACGTGATTAAGCTATACTTCAACATTAGAGCCTAGAGACATTAATAAATTAACCCACAAACAGAATCTTACATTTTTTTATTTCTTTGTACATTTTTATAATTTTAAAAATCCTAAAGCATCTCACATGTACAGCACAAGTTCAGAGGACGCTAACATTGTTTAGAGCAAAAACTGGGATAGTTTGTTGGGGCGGTGGTAAGAATCACACACACATATAAGGAAAGACTCATTTACGTTGTGCCAACAGCAATCACATCTTAAGTCCCCAATTAAAATGTGATTTTTTTTTTAACTCCAAAAGCTCCATGTGACTGTGTAGCCATCTGTTTAATGTAACAGCCGCCACTGCTTTGGGCATAGATAATTATTAGGATGAGGAACAGTGCTGGGGAAAGATCACATCTCAGTTGAAAATGACAGTTAATTAAGAGGTAATTAGGGAGGGGTGCTTAGCATTATATTATATCCTGGGAAAGAAATCGGTATCCCGTCTTATCAATCTAGGTGTAAGTCATGTAGCGTATAAGACTATACATTTTGAATCATTATTTTAAAATCTAATATGTACATTAAAATATATATTAATAAATAGCATATTTACTGAACTATATTCAATCAGGGGAAGTATTGTTTTCATAAATTATTTTTTGAATTGTTTGCATTTGTTTTTGGGTGTTGTTGTTTTTTTTGGTCAGAATATTTTTTATCTCAAGTTACTACTTGGAAGTTTTGTGTTATCTGGCTCCCCTTACTGCTGTGAGGGCATCTTCAGCCCTCGTCTCTGGAGGAATCCGTGACCACAGCCCTGCAGCACACAGATTCCACTGAGGAGTGCCTGTTAAAGCACTGTGGTCTGAAGTTAGCCGTTCTAGGATATTGTCTGAGACATACAACCAAGGGTTCAATTCGCTGAAGCACTTCTTACGTGCCAGAGGGCACGAAATGAATCAAGTAGCATAAAGCTATGCTCAGATTCATTCATTTACCAGAAAAGAAAAAAAGAAAAAGAAAAAAGGCCAGGTCTCTGTGGGTTCAGAGGCTTCTAATAAGTAGCATCCATACAGATTTTAGTGTGAGGCTTTGAAAACCCTAATGTACGTCACTGTACATTCTAGATTCCCAAAGGATCTTTTATTTAATTTCATATTTATCTCATCTGGTTTAATTTTCATGTTATTTCTTATCTTTCATTTGCTTATCTTCATTTTTTAAAAAACTGTTTAGTGTCGCTAAGGACTTCATCTTTGAGTTAGATGAATTTGTATGTAATTATCGGAAAAGAGATGAAAAACTTCCATGATTATCACAAATGATAAGAGTTGAAAACAACTGGTAATTAATTAGGAGCTTGGTTTGGGGGGTTAATTTCTATGTGGGCTACATAGAAGATGGATGTGCCTGTTAAATTGATATTAACTCACATTTTAGAAATAAAACATGTAGGCACAAATACATCTCACGTCTAAAACATCACATTTTTGTTGTATCAGAATTGTTTTAGTACTGCTTTTTGGTTTGTATTTAAACTGAACTCCTTTTTAAAGGATTTAATCATATCACTGGTCCCAACTTATCTAAAGCATCACATTAGTACTGCTTTTTGGTTTGTATTTAAACGGAACTCCTTTTTAAAGGATTTAATCATATCACTGGTCCCAACTTAGGCTGTCAGTCTTCATAAATATTTCATGTGGATGTTGTCTGACATGGTCTGAGTGTCTGTCAGGTTTTTCCAGCTGTTCCAGCCCTGTCACGTGTTGTTGTTTGGCTGTGTCATGTGTCATGAAAGAACTGAAGGACTTGTCTTATTGCTAAGCCCGGTCAGCACTCTCTTCACTGCTTCATGGCCTAGGCTAGACTAGGTCCTCGCCACAGTGCAGTTCTGGGAATGAATGATGGATCTGTGTCGCACCCAGAGCCTTACCTCTAACTAGCGTTCATTTTCCATCTTTGCAATTTCCATTTCCTCTTTTATTTAAATAAGTTGGAATAAATGGATGCTCCTGCACGTCCCGTGAGCTCTTCTGAGCCGAGCGTGGGCCTCTGGATGATACTGTTAATAATTTGTTCACGTTCTCTCTCTCTCTCTTCTTTTGTAGTCGCGACCTATCCCTTCCCACCTTACCTCAGCAGTTGCAGAGAGCATCCTGGCCTCGGCCTGTGAGAGCGAGAGCAGAAATGCTGCCAAGAGGATGCGCCTGGAGAAGCAGCAGGTACTGCGCAGCGTGGGGCCGGGGCACCCAGCCAGCGCGTGCGGCTCGGTGAGCCTCCTGTGCAAGCTGAATGGGCGGATTTTGAAGTTCACAAAGACAGGGCTTTTGTGTCTTTCCGATAAGAATTTAAACTTGACATTGAAGGTTCGTGAGCACCATGGAGACCTAACAACCCAGATGTTCTGTGGTGGAAACCGGACAGTTGTAAATGGATGGGTTACAATTCTGTATGGCATCCTCTCTGAAGGCTGGTTGGTCAAGTACTGGGTCCTAAGTGATCACTTACAATACTTTTGTCAATGTTCCTGGTTGGTTATGCTAAGGACCTGATCGTGTTCATTCTTCATGAGCATCAACTTGTCTTATGATCCCCGTGGCCCAGCTGCGAAGTGGCAGCATGTTGCGCTGGGGGTGGCGAGAGCACAACATCATGGGGCCGATGGGAAGTCCATGACGTGGGAACATGACATAATGGAGGTCCATATCCCCGGCTCACTTCCTCATTCGTGAATCATTCACTACGTGCCGTCAAGTGTCCACTCCTGTGTCCCTGTCCTCGGGGAGGATGTCCAGGGGGTGTGGGTGTGAGTATGTTTTGTTCATTGTTCCCTGGGGTTTCACTCAGTTTCTCCCTCGCTTTATCTACATCTGTCTGTCTCCCCTTCTTGTGTCTGGTATGTCTTTGTTTCATTTTTCTCTCTAGCTCTCTTCCTTAATTATCCATAATACAAAATTAAATTATAGCATAGAATTTAAATATTACCCATAATGTAAGTATTGCACATAGAAGTGTGCTGTATTCTTACTTTTAAATTATTTTTACAATGAATGACGACGTGCTTCATATTTCTAATTGAGATTGGGTTGGGAAGATTAAATTGTTAATCCAATTTTGTTTTTCCTGTGAGCCAATGAAAATAGAAAAATAAAAATAAATGTTTTTCTATTGCAGGCTTCAATATTGAAAAGTGTTTCAGAATGGCATTATTTTAAATTTAATATGCCTGTTATTAACATGGCATGTGTTAATAATTTTAAACAATGCAAAAGATGAAGCCTGTAGTTAAATAAAAAATAGTATTGGCTTCAGATAAAATTTATATATGAAAAAACTAACTTTGAATTTGCTAATAATTCTTTGCTAAGTGTTTATTCACATATTCATGTTCTCAGTTGAGACTTTTATCATTATAATTCTAAACTTTATATTAAAATGAGTTATAGTACTATAAATGGTGGGGCAAAAGTAGGCTTACAGTTGTGAGTATGCAAAATAGAGTTTATTCTTGTATTATTATTTATTATTGTATTATTTTCATATGGACAATGGTAGGCCTACTTTTGCCCGACCCTACCACCTCATGTAGTGATTGAGATTACACATTTTGGCGTTAAATACATCTGGTTTTGAGTCTCAGCTCTACTCTTACTAATTGCGTAACTTTCAGAAAACTATTTCAATTCTCTCTACCTCTATTTCTTCATATGCAAGATAACAAGATAGCAGTATTAGCCCTATAGGGTTGTTATGAGAACTCTAAATGACAGATTTATATTATGTACTTAGCATTTTGCTGGGCACATAGTAAGTATCAATAAATCAGCCTAGAAAAGATGATTTTAACTGATGTTCTAGCTTTTCTGTTGCATCAATATAAGTAAAACTAAAAAAAAGCATTATTTGTACTATCTCTTTCATAGGAGTTTTAAAATCAGACTCGGTCTATTTGAGAGATTATAATTCTAGAAATTTCAGTGGCAGGATTCTGGGATTCAGTGGGCTCTCCTGGTTATCGTCTTGCCATATAGCCATTTAGTCTACACTCTAGAATATTCCTGCATTGTGTCAGTCACATATAGAGTTGTTATGACTGATTCATGTTAAGTATTACCTATGACATCATTCTGTAATATCCCCCAAAGCTGTTCATCCACCACTTTGTGGTCAATTACTTGACCACTGTTGGCCTAATCTGTGAAATCGGCATGTGAATATCAAACGCATAGATTTATCTTGAGGATTTAAGAAGGCAGTGCATGTGAAAGCACAGTATGTTTCATAGTTTAAAGATGTATGATATCCACCATTTGCTTGAGTACCTCAAGTGGTGGGGCAATCCCACCCCCAGCACTGAAGGCCTGCTTGTTACTGAAGCACATGTGCTGTTGACAGACAGCTGGCATCATTCCCATGGCCTTCCACTGGGCTCCGGTTTGCTTCCTGGAGCTTCTACCCATTGAAGAAAAACTGCTCACAATCATGAGGAGTGTGACTTCTTACTACTGTCCTGGGAGTAGGGACAGGAATGGGTGGGGACCAGTTGGCCTTCACCCTACTTCCCGTATGAGCCATTTCTTCTCCGTCCTCAGACACAGTGCTCGTTTATGGCCAGGCTCTGTCACCTGGGAAGGCGGGATGTCCAGTATCACCCCCATAGTAGTGCTCTTTCCAGGCCCTGCGAGGGCTCAGTGTAGGATTCATGAGAAATACGGAAGGAATGACAAAAAAGTACATCTTAGGATTTATTAGAAATCCGATAGGCACTTTACAGACGTTTCTCTCATGTAGCATTTTCAACAACCCCATGAGAGCAGGCATTATTATTCTCATTTACAGAGGAGGGAACTGAGGCTGAGAGAAGTGGGGCGGTTCGTACAAGGTTGCTCAACTGCGTGAGCAAGTCCGGGTATAAGTTCATATGGCGTGAGGCTGACACTTGCCATCTCTCCGCGACCCTGTCCCTTCGTGTTGTGTTCATTGAGGGAAAACCCATGTTCAGGAACCAACTCTTCAGACGCGTCCCATCTGTGCCTCTGCTCAGTGTTTTTGGCAGTGCGGCTTCTGTTGGAAAACTCTCTACTTTATTCAGAGACTTTTCCTTCTTCATAGCAACAGGCCTCCCCAGCGAGCAGAGTTACTCCGAGATGATGTTTCTGTCTCAATATGCGCTTGACCGAGGTTCCCACCTTCCCAAAGTGCTTCACATCCTCAGAAACTGGTCATGCACTGAGAGTGCTGGCTTCCTGAGGGAGTTTTACTTTAAAAAGTCTGCACTACTTCTTACTGTGAATTCTACAGATCTCATTGGACATGCCACACAGAGGCTTCTGCTGGGGATTCTGCACTTCCCACCACAGCATGGCGGTGGGGCATCCTCTCCCAATGGGACCCAAACCCTCTCTTTGCACAGGTAGAAGCAGCCAGAGTTCTTGAGGGTTGGCAAAGAGATCATCTTTGGCCGTGAGCATTCTTAACCCAACTCACGATTCTTGGACTTTGCCGGTGACTCAGAGATTCGTCACTGACCCCTGTCTTTCTGTAGGTACTTGAGGGTCTAAAACAGGGGTCCTCAAACTTTTTAAACAGGGGGCCAGTTCACTGTCCCTCAGACCGTTGGAGGGCCGGACTATAGTTAAAAAAAAAACTATGAACAAATTTCCTATGCACACTGCACATATCTTATTTTGAAGTAAAAAAACAAAACGGGAACAGATACAATATTTGTATTTGCATGTGGCCCGCGGGCCGTAGTTTGAGGACCCCTGGTCTAAAACCTGGACAGTTAAAACCTGGGTTCTATTGAGCCACACGCCTGCCTGCTGGCCGCCCATGGTGAGCCTCAGGTGGGGCTGTAAGTGTGTATGCCCTTCTGAGTTTGTGAAGCCTGATGAATCAGGTACATTTTATAAAACTCTTCCACCTGTGCACATGAGAGGTGCTGTGGACGGGTGAAGCGCCTTTCCTGCAAGCCCACCTGGGCCAGGATCCGGAGGAGGCGTGTTATCATGCAGCCTCGGCCCTGCAGCAGGCCTGGGGCCAGGACGGCACCTCTTGCTCCATCAGGAATCCGGTATCTCAGAGCTGAGGTCAGTTGGCAGCGCGTTGCAGAATATATTCAGCATCACATTTCTGTTCACATGAAAACCTAGACTTTTTAACGTATCTAGGAAATTGTTCCACACTGACATTTCAAAAAGATGGGCAATGTCAGCTTTCCCTTTCATAATTCTGTGACACCGCACATGTGAAAAGATTGTCTTTTTCTCTGCCTTTGCTGTTTCATTACTTTTCCCTCAAAAACAAAGAGATCTCAATGTTCTTGGTGACAATTTAACTAACTAGACAGAGGCAGGGAATCAAACCAGCAACCTCTGTGTGCATGGGACAACGCTCAACCAACTAGAACATAGCAGTCTGGCCAGCGGTTTCCCTCTTTTATGGACAGGACTCTGAATCGGGAAACTTCATTTCTTTTGGGTGACATGTATGGGTTTGGGGGAGAAGGTAGGAACCAGCCTCAATTTCTGATTTTTTTTTTTTTTTGCCTTTCTGTTGCTCATTTGTATTCTGGCTTCATTGAGAATTCTCCCACATTTTTATAGAAATTATTTTTTTAAAACTTTGGGTACATCTTTAGCTTAGGGTGTTATTAATTTCAAGTTGATAAATGTCAGTACGTGAGTAGGTGGTTTGAATTCAGACAGAGAAATTCAACATGTTATGTTGACACACTTCTCAGTGCCAAAGTCAGGGGAACATATGGTTTCCTAGGTTCTCCATGAAGACAGCATTTTCATTAATATCACTTGTTTTACAACCACATATTTTTAGGCTTAGCGGATAAATGAAGAATCTGACATATTTGGTTTATGCCAATATATTCCTTTTTTGTAATTTGTTTTCTCATAATCTGGTCATTCCTTGCCCTGTCTCTTCTCTTTAACCACGTTAAAACCCATTAGTTACTCTGGAAAAAATAATGTTTTATGTATTGGGGAAATTTAGTCATAGTCACAAAGTTTTTATAAAATTAGCTAATGCAATAGCCGGGCAAATGTAACTGTGCTTCCTGCAGAGACTGGTGTTTGGCACGGTTCATGGGGGACCGCGGCCACGAGACACGCATGCTGCTCCGTTACCCAGCACTTAGGAGAGCAGGGCTTCTGGAGAGCTGGTATTCCGGGCAGCTGAGGACTGCCGTCTTTCTTTTCTTTATTGA